CTAACTTTATTGAAATACTGAGTATATGTAAAATTGTTCATTTTATCCAGCCTGGTCAACAGTTTTCCGGTTTCCCCAGTCCTCCCACTCGATATGAAACTCAGTAGTGTCTCGTATACATAAATCTCAAAGTCAATACAGACATTAATATGGTGCATGTATCAGTAGGTTAGGTCAGAAAAAGGATAAATTTTATTGTTACCTGAAAACAAAAGTCAGGGCAAAGCTAATTTACAGAGTGAATTGGAAATTAGGTTTTGCGCCGGCGGAGGGAGGAAAACCGGAGAACCCGCGGAGAAAATCCCTTTGAATCAAGGGAAATACCTAACAGACGTACTCACATGAGATGCYGACTACAGGAATCGAACTGGAGACCCCAAAGAGTGTACTACCACTACTCGCCATCCTTTCAGTATTTTTTTTTTTGCTATTTCAAAAGCTGACTTCAGTTTTCTCTAAAATACTATGAGAGCTAGACCAGCAATAGCATAGCCAATCAGAACGCATAATATGCAGTCCACTAGCTTGTTTATAAAATATCACTAATGGTAATTCACTGYTCTTCATTSCYGATCAGAGAACAAGAAACTGGATTTCGTCGAGAGAACCACTGGACACTCCAATACGTTCGTACTATAAAGACGACACTTGTGAACTAGTATCTGCAGGTATGTRTATGGAAAGATAAAGATGTAGGCCAGATGGTGTTGAGGGTTATAAATGTTTGCCTAAAGTACACTTTTTTATCTATATATTATTTCAGTAAAATATGGGTTTATATTTTCCTTCTGTAGGCACGACAGAACACGTCTGNTGTTTCGCAAGATTGAAGGGATGGAGGTAGGCTGTTCCATAACTCAGGAGCAGCAACTGCAAAAGCTCTCTTCCCATATTTCTTTAGCCTGAAAGAGCCTTTGGTTAAGAGGTTCGCTGATGAAGATCTGAGAGAGCGAGAAGGCATATATAAATCCTTGTATAAATCCATAATAATCCTTGTTGATGTCAGCTTTGTCACTTTTCAGGTGGCTAACTTTATTGAAATACTCAGTATATATAAAATTGTTCATTTTATCCAGCCTGGTCAACAGTTTTCCGGTTTCCACAGTCCTCCCACTCGATATGAAACTCAGTAATGTCTCGTATACATAGTCTCAAAGTCAATACAGACATTAATATGGTGCATGTATCAATAGGTTAGGTCAGAAAAGGGATAAATTTTATTGTTACCTAAAAACGAAAGTCAGGGCAAAGCTAATTTACAGAGCGAATTGGAATTTAGGTTTTGCGCCGGCGGAGGGAGGAAAACCGGAGAACCCGCGGAGAAATACAGGAGAGATACCTTACAGATGTACTCACATGAGATGCCGACTACAGGAATCGAACCGGAGACCCCAAAGAGTGTACTGCCAACACTCGCCATCCTTTCAGTATTTTTATTCTTTTTTGCTATTTCAAAAGCTGACTTCGGTTTTCTCTAAAATACTATGAGAACTAGACCAGCAGTAACTTAGCCAATCAGAACGCACGATATGCAGTCCACTACCTTGTTTATAAAATGTCAGTAATGGTAATTCACTGTTCTTCATTCCTGATCAGAGAACAAGAAACTGGGTTTCGTCGTATGAAGAACTGGACACTCCAATACGTCCGTACTATAAAGACGACACCTTTGAACTAGTATCTGCAGGTATGTGTATGGAAAGATAAAGATGTAGGCCAGATGGTGTTGAGGGTTATAAATGATTGCCTAAAATACACTTTTTTATCTATATATTATTTCAGTAAAATATGGGTTTATATTTTCCTTCTGTAGGCACGACAGAACACGTCTGGACATCACACTGTGCTAAAGATTCGGTCTTTAGTTTTTTTAAGGAAAAACTGGATAAAGAAGAGAAAGGAAAGGATAATGACAAATGTGCAGGAAATGGTTCGAGGTGCGGATCTGATGACTGCGAAGAGGACGATCAAGAGGGATTAAAGGGGGATGAACAGCAGCTAGAAACAGGGCCTGAAGACGGAAAGATGGAAAAAGAAAATTCCAAAGATGAAGGAAGTGAAAATGATAACATGGTGACTGGAGATGATCCGATTGCTGGGACACCGGGAGAAGAAACTGTACAACAAGGAAAAGATAACATGGTGACTGGAGATGGTTTGATTACTGGGACACCGGGAGAAGAATCTGTACAACCAGGAAAAGATAACATGTTGACTGGAGATGGTTCGATTACTGGGACACCGGGAGAAGAATCTGTACAACAAGAAAAAGATAACATGGTGACTGGAGATGGTTCGATTACTGGGACACCGAGAGAAGAAACTGTACAACAAGAAAAAAGATAACATGTTGACTGGAGATGGTTCGATTACTGAGACACCGAGAGAAGAATCTGTACAACAAGGAAAAGATAACATGGTGATTGGAGATGGTTTGATTACTGGGACACCGGTAGAAGAAACTGTACAACAAGGAAAAGATAACATGTTGACTGGAGATGGTTCGATTACTGAGACACCGAGAGAAGAATCTGTACAACAAGAAAAAGATAACATGGTGACTGGAGATGGTTCGATCACTGGGACACCGGGAGAAGAATCTGTACAACAAGGAAAAGGTAGCATGGTGACTGGAGATGGTTCGATTACTGAGACACCGAGAGAAGAATCTGTACAACAAGGAAAAGATAACATGGTGACTGGAGATGGTTTGATTACTGGGACACTGGGAGAAGAATCTGTACAACAAGGAAAAGATAACATGTTGACTGGAGATGGTTCGATTACTGAGACACCGGGAGAAGAAATTGTACAACAAGAAAAAGATAACATGGTGACTGGAGATGGTTCGATTACTGGGACAC